GAGTAGTTGCTAGTAACATTGTTCCATGATCAACTGTGATACACTTAGCTAAGTAATACAATGATCTAAGACAACTCCAAAAGACTTACAATGGAAAATGCTATCCACATCCAGAAATAGAACTATGGAGTCTGAATGCAGATTGAAGCATACTATTTTCACTTTTTTTGGTTTCTTTTTTTTGCTTTTGTTGTGTTTCTTCTTTCACAACACAACTAATGTGGAAATATGTTTAACATGATTGCACATGTACAACCTATATCAAATTGCTTGCTGTTTTAAGGAGGGGCAAAAGGGAGAAAGATTTGGAACTCAAAAATCTTTTAAAAATGCATGGTGAAAACTATCTTTACAAGTAATTGGAAAAAATAAAATACTATTTACAAAAAAAAAGTAGTTGCTAGTGACATTTTTATATTAATCTTGCTTGAGGGCCCTTATTCATCATTCATACAATCATCATTTATTAGGATCACAATTTTAGAGTTAGATGGTAGGTCCTCAGGTGTTATCTAATCCCACACTCCTTTATTTTACAGATGAGGAACGTGAAGCTCAGAGGTGAAGTGACTACCCTGGGTCACAAAGGTACAAAGAAACAGCTGGGCATGGTGCAATGGTACACATCTGCTATGACAGATGTTGAAGCTGGTGTATCTGTAAGAGATTGGGAGTTCTGAGCTGCATCAATTTAAGCTTATGGTCTCTAACTTCATCACTAACATGGTGAGCTACTAGGAGGGTGAACCATCAGGTTGCTGAATGAGAGTGAATCTCAAAGCAGTCCAAGTTGGACACAGAACAGGTCAAAGTTCTGAATGGAGTGGGACTGGGCCTATGAGTAGCCCTTGTAGTGGAAGAAAAAGGAAAAAAGGGAAAGGGAACAGGAAAGGGGAAGGAAAAGGGAAAGGACAGGAAAATGTGGGTTTGAATTTAGGTCTTCTTACTCAGTTCTACTGTTCTTTCTTCTATACTTCACCCATTGTAGGTGTTGCTAGAAGATGTAGTTTTCATAAAACAAGATCTCTACCCACATGGAACTTGCTTTAACAGGGGAGTAAGACACACATAGATTACTCTAATGCAATACTATTTAGTGATAAGCACACCAGAAAGTTGCAAAACAAAGAGCTCTGTGAGGTCCAAAAGGAAAAATTGTTACTGGTGTGGGTGATCAGGGAAAAGCTCTGTGGCAGAAAGTGACATCTGAATTGGGCTTTAAACAGTAGGAAGTAATACAACAGGCAGACAGATGCATGGAAGATTTCTCATACATAAAGGACAGGGTAAGCAAAGGCCTAAAGGTGGAAGAGCAGGAAGGATATTGATAAATTGAAGGTAGTTCATCTTTAATGCATAAGTATGCTGAGGCAGGGAAAAAATAAGGTTGGAAAGGTAGAGTGGTACTTGACTGAGGACCTGGAAAGTTGGATAAATTGGACTGTGAGCTCCAGGATAGCAGGGACTGTCTTTTCTATATTTTTAATACCCTTGGCTCTTAGGGATGTGCCTAGAATGCAGTAATTGTGCTTAATAGATCAACTGAATGACAAATGAGCCTGAACTTTAGATGGACACAAAAAGGAGCCATTTTTGAACAGGACTAATACCATAAAACTCAAATTGCTTCAACTATACCACTTCTACGTGGAAACAAACTCTTTCCAATCAACCCACTTTCAAATGTACTTTTCAAACACAACTACTTGTTACAATGAAGTTTGCTTTTTCCTGAAATTTTAGCAGCTTTGTTTAATAACCCAGCATCAGGTTACACCTTGAGAGGGTAGGCCAGGCTTTCCCAATTCTGAGATGAACTTCCATCTACTCTCTATCTTGCATGGTCCTAGTTATTTTTACATTGTCTCTCCCATTAGAATGTAAGCTTCTTGAGGGCAGGGACTCTGTTTTTTGCCTTTCCTTGAATCTGTGCTCAGCAAAGCGTCCCGTCCGGCAGAGTAAAGACTCGCTAAATGCTTGTTGACTAACAAAAGTGGGAGAACCTACCGTTTTTAATGACAAACAAGCCTTTTGATCATCACAAAGAAAACTTTCAACAGAAGACCCTGGGAAGTTTTTGTATTATCCCACAATGTCTGTCCAGAATGCCTAACTCTATTACAGTGTAACAGCACTTCAAAAAAAAAAACAGGCTACAATAAGGGCCAATTTGCAGGGTTTGGGATAAAAAGAGAGCCATCAGACTTCATTCAGGCCACCAATCATTTCTGGACAAATACTAAGGCAAAAAAGAGTTTTTTGTTTTATTACCTAACAAGGAGATCTAGGCAGCTCCAGAACTAAGACTAACTCAACTGAGTTAAGTTGCATCATTTTCAATGAGGCAATTGTTGACTGCCTTTTGATGTTGCTGAAAGTGAGTATTCAAAAGCTGTTGCCTTTAAGCCAAACAGCAGTAAAATGAGAGTTTCAATTATTAAGCAACGTGTTCTAATCATTAAGATGCCTTTCACTTCCATTCACTAGGTATAGTTTGGAATTAGTCTTGAAAAGTAATCCCAAGAGTTGCAGCTTGGTGTAGTGGAGAGAAAGCCAACCTTGGAGTCAGGAACACACGGAAGGCCTTTGCCTAATTAACAAAGTTCCTTAATCTCAGTACTCCCACCCCCAACACTCCCCTAAAACTACAGTTAGCAGAAGTTGCTAATCTGTATGAGTGGAAGGAGTTGACTCACCTGTGAGCTGACAAGACCAATGAAATTATAGGTCTGTCCCACTCCCCGCCCGCCCCCGCAAAATTAGAAACGATCAAAATAAACTTCTAAGTTGGAAATAATTTTTTTTTCTGGCAGTGAAAATGACAGGCTCTAAATGTTTTGCTGAGCAATGGGCTGATCAGCATGAGCCTTACTTAAAACAAAACCTAGAAGCCAGAGTCCTAAACCACCTTCTTCTGACACTCAATCCATTTCCAATTTTGCTTAAATCTGTGGTTGAGTAATTGGTGAAATCATGTCCTATGTGATCAGTATTATCACAATCTATTATTTTCTGAAGCTGTCATACTTGATACCTTGAGTCTGAAAGGTGCTGCCCAAAAATCCAATTCAGCTGCATTCAAAGAGACCTACAACCCAGTAGGTGTTCTAATCATGTTGAGTACAGTTCTGTGCTACACATAGCAACTTTCAGGGCAGGAGGTAGACTATTAAATTGCTTTCTGAGCTCCATTAGAGCCACCCCTGCTGATAGTGAAAAAGTCCTCAGACACATAAAAATTAAATCGCCTACTAGGTAAGGAATAAGACAGTAGTTTCTCTCCAAATATTTTTCTGTTGAAATAATCTAAAAAATGTACATATAGGACCAGGAATATAGTAAGTACATGATTTAGCAAGCTAAAATCAAGATTAAGAAATCACTGCCTTACACCTTCATGATGTCTCTGCTAATGGCCTATGGTCATTAGCAATTTACCTCACTTCTCCTTTAAGATGGAGACAATAATTGTTAGAACTGAACAGAATCTTAGAGGTCAGTTAGTCCAACCTCTGCCTCTTATAGAGGGGGGAATCTGAAGCCCATAGAATTTAAAAGACTTAGACAAGGACCGGAGCCCACACCTTCTGACTCCTCTCTGACTCCCAGTTTAAGGTGTTCCAAAGTTTAAAAAGCCAGCTTGGCTTTAATAGCTTAAAATGGCCCTAAGACTTCTGGGACACCCTGGAGAGTATTCCTTCCAATTCACCATAGAACAGAAAGAGTAATGAAACTAGTCTCAAAGAACACTTTTGGTAATTGGTTACTTGCTCCACCCCATGCCCATCTATTTTCCAGCTTATTTATGAGGGTGAGTCAATAACTAAGATGAATTTGATCTTCAAAATATTTTATTTTAGGAACATGATCAAAAACATTGCCATTTTTATAATGCAGCAAATATAAGCATCACACATTCAACTATAATGAGGTAATGTAGTAATACATATATTATGTTTATGAAAAATGGAGATTCACTTTTGCTATTAACTCTCCCTCATACATTTTGAAATGATATCTAGAAATCAATAATCACTCCTCCCCCCTCCAATCACTGTCTAGTTCTCAGCATTTAAACCTCTGAAAATTCACATCCCTTCAAATTACACGATTGTATTTTTGTAGTCTACTATAGCGGCAATATAGGCAGCTCACCAAAACAGCGTAAAATGTTTTATTAAGTATATATAATATTACAGGGTAATATTTACAAAGTTATGTTTTTTTTTAAATAAAAAAATACCTTGGCAAAGATTGCAGATTTTCAAAGCTTCAAACAGTGATAAATCAATTTAATACATTAAAAAAAAAAACCTCTGACAGTAACAACACAGCTGTAAAACAACTTTGGTTTTTAAATCACTGTAAGAATGGCTACTAACAAATAGCACACCTTTAATTGCTATCCAGAAAAGCCCCCAGAAGGGCCTTTGTACATAGCAAAACTGAAGTTTTCTTCGTTGAGAATGGTTAATGGATATTTACAACATGTAGGATCCAATTTTTGACAATGGCTTTTTGTAAATGATGCTCCATTTAATTAAAAATAAAAATCTGCTTCTCATCCTCATCAACCACTATCACAAGACTTTAAGGTTCCATTGCTGTTGCCTTACAAGGGAAGTCCACTAAAGGTGATTTTCTTTTGAAAAGTCTTAATTTGTGAGGAAAAAAAAACATTTTAAATGAAGTCAGAGTATGTAACCACTACAATCAAGAGCTCAGGCACATGCTCCCCCAAATAAGGTGGGTACTAACATTTTAGCATCAGGGAAACTTCCTGTTCACTGGTGTCCCCTTCCATAGATTAACTGGATTATACTCATTGGCATATGAGAACAGCCAAACTCAGGATCCATATAGGCTTGGGAGCAGTAGATGATTGCTATTTGTGATTTTTCCCCACAATATGCACATAAATACACAGCAGACATTTCAAAAACAACAACAACAAAAAAGCCCAAACACTGAACAAAACACAAATAAAAATCACACAGAGCTGCCTTACAAATATTTTATTTTTTTCTGTTTTTCACAAACAGATAAATGAATGGGTATATTATGTAGTATTTTTTTTTCCATAGAGACCACAAAAACTACCACTGCCTAACTCTTTTTTTAGTTAGAAATATGAAGAGATTTGGAAAGAATGACAGGGGACTCTACCACCACTCTCTCAGACCTCAAAGGGACTATTTAAGTGCTTTGAAATTGGCCACTTACTAACTGAAGAGTCATTTATTTTCTTCATACTGACAAGAAAGCTCCTACATTTTTTAAAGTTCTAACATTTTGAAATTTTTTTTTTGATTTGACCTAGACTTTCATGTTAAAAAAAAAAAAATCATCTTTTAAGTTTTCCTTAACACAAAATCTGTCAAAAGAGAAAACACTTATTCATCTTAATAAGAGTACTAGGGGGAAAAAAAACTAATTATAGGCAACTCTTGATTATCAACCCAAATTACCATGTACTGTGTGCAAAGCATTGAACTAGGCACTCTGTGGAGAAAGGGAGAAAAAGAGTGTTTATTCTCCTGAAATATCTAGTGGGAGATATAGGACAAATAACTAAACGTGTGTGTGTGTGTGTGTGTGTGTGTGTGTGTGTGTGATTTGACATGCAGCAGCTCTGCCTGTACCTAAAAGGTATGTCCACTGAATTATTCTCATTTCACCAAAAGGAACTTTTTATTTAAAGGAAACTTCTTTGAAGAGAGGAATAATTTCCATATTTACTTTATGAATTTTCATATACTGGATTTACTTAAAACAAGGTACACCTATAAAAAGTTGTATAGACATATACACGTAAGTACTAAGTAAATGGGGATTTTGTTAGTAAGGTAAAGAAAAGGGATGATCAGAGTAAATAATCTGATTGAAACTTGAATAGATCCGTCAATCTGAAGAAGAAAGGTGGTGTGCTGTGTGGGAGGGGAAGGATAGCAAAGCAGGAGGGTGCTTCATAGGTAAAGGCTTAAATGCTAGAGAGGTCAGAAAAGGCAGTGAAGGGATAGTACCCAGGGATATAGTAAATGGCTGTTCGAGGACAGGCTGGATACAGAATAAAAAAGAAAATGACTGACAGGTAAAGAGGGTGGGGGAAACCATTAGGTGCTCTGAAGCATTATGGTAATTGGGAATGGATTTCTATTAACAACAATTTGATCAAAATGATGACTGAGGAAGATGATTCCTGTTGAGGTATATAGATCAAATAAATGGAAAAAACTAAAAATAGCCAAGAAGACTGCCTGGGAAGGTGAGTAAAACTTAGCTGGAGCCAGTTAGACTATAAGAGCTGAAAGAAACCTAGAAATCATTTCATCTACACCCCACCCCCATTTTAGAGATGAGCAAATTGAGGCCCAGGGAAGTCACTTTCTTATAGTCACACAGTGGCAGGCTAAAACTGAGGTCTCTTCATTCCCAGGTTCAGTATTCTTTCCACTATATGACTCCTCTATGGGGTAATGAGCTTAATAAAAACAACAGATACATGGTAGGTGCTTAGGATATTTTAGTAGTTGAGATGTCATGTAGTTAAGAAATTAACCACATGGGAATGGAGAGACAGGAGAGGGAATCTGGAAAATATTATGGCAGCAGGAATAAAAAAGACTAAGTGATGAATGCAACATGGGAACTAAGGAAGACAATAGAAGTTAGTGTTTCTGTTTTTGTTTTTTTAATTAAATACAAGAATATAAAAAAAAAAAAAACCCTACTCTGGCTGGTGGTTTCAATACCCTACCCCCAGTCAATCCTTTTACAGAGCTGCTAGCAAATCAGTTAGCAAGCATTTATTAAGCACCAGTGTGCTAAACACTTTACCACGTGCTTGTGAAAATGACTGATTCATTGAGTTTCCTCTTCATAATCTTCCCCCGCCACTTTCTGATGGAGTTGCTTTGGTGGCAGTGAAAAGCCCCAAAGGCAGGCAGAAATAGGAAGAATATAAAAGTAAGGATACTTCCTGCATAACTGTTCCTGAATTATTGAGAGTTCACTATATATCTAAAAAAAGGGGGGGGGGGGGGACAATGGCAGTTCAGTGAGGAATTCATTGGAAAAATCCTCATACCTGGCTAATTTCCTAAAAAATAGAGATTTGGACTTTTGCAATTTCATCTGCTTTAACTTTTCCAATTTCATCGGTATGGGGGCAGAAGGGGATGGCAGGGGGAGAAGAGCAGCAGGAACTGATGGACTTGCTGTAATCCAGCTCCTCTATTTATGCCAATACTTTGAATAACACCACAAACGGTGGGAAGGAAAAAAGACAAAGCATAAAAGAAAAATAGAGCTGGCTTTGTAAAAAGTGTCTTGATTTTTTGTGAGGCATCAAAAGGTCATTAAATTGTGGTTTGCCAAGGACAAACCACTTGGTCCCAACATGAAATATGAAAATTAAGTTGAGTAGTACTGAACTAGCATACAAAAGAGGCACATGGGAACATTCGGTGGACTAAGAAATAACTATCACCAATGCAACCACAAATATACAAACAGGAAAAATGGCTGGTACTTAAGGGTACTGATGAGCACAAAGCTGGACAACTGACTTTTTTTTAATAACCAAATTACTTTAATGACCAATTCTACCTAAGAAACACGTTCGTTTTAAATAATTCTACTAAAAGTAGAAAAATCAGTATTTGCTCTGTTCACCCCAATTGTCCACATGAAACAAGCATGTGCCTATCACACACACGGACATACAGATACACACACTCACACGGACATACATACATATACACACACACTCACTCACAGACACATGAACAAGGTAAAAACGAGTGCTAATAATCTAAAAGTACAGGCAATCACAGCTGCCATAACGCTAAACTTCAAACCAGGGTAGGAAAGGTTTTGTGGTTTTTTTTTTAAAGTTTTTAGTTTTAGAGAAAGGAGAGGCTGAGGTGAGAATACAAGAAGATGGTGGCAATGAGTTCTTTTTCCATGCAACATAGATACAACAGTAGTTAAAAAAAAGGCCCTCTGGAGGAGCTGGCCCAATGGTGATGCACTATACTGTACTGCCATGCAGGGGATCAAAGCTCAAATCTCAATCTTGGTTTTTCATGCCCCAGACCAAAAATATGTGAAATAACACTGGATGATACCCTCAGTTTAGGGGAAGGGAATGCTGATGTTATTTTTGCCAAAAAATTAAGACTGGAAAGCAGTGCTCTGGGAACAAGACCCATCCCTTTCAGGAACTAGACTACAGTATGTCCCAGGACCTGGTTCAAGGAAGAGCAAAGACTCAACATCTTGTAAGACAGAAGCAATTAACAGGAGGACAAGACAGGATTTAAAAGGTTGTGGGGATAAAAAAAAAACAAAAACCTAACATCAAGAAAATCACAAGGTTAAGCTGCAAAGCCTCAGTTAACAACCAGAATCTAGAAGTTTCTGACTATTACATTTCAAGTTTGGCAAAGATGCAAGAGTGGTAACCCCTCCAGAATGAAGGCCTCTATCCACATAGGTAAGCATATGACAAGACACTAGGTGGCAACGCAAGATGCAAGGTACTTCGACCTGACTCTAAAAGATCTCTCTCTCTTGACCCAGAAGTAGCGGAGATATTCCGTGGCCCAATAAACACTGCCTGCCAAATGTGCTCCCTGGAATGCTATCCTTCAAAGTTAGATGGAAACCATTGATTTTTATGTCTCATAGACTTCTTGGAGCAGCCACCAAATGGTACAGGGTCAATTTCGCCTTTAATCAGTTTTTTAAAACCCAGAAAATTACAGGAAATAAAGACATGGGGTTTGATAAAGGTATCATTCTGGAAAGGTACAAACTCTACCTCTGTCTCTACTGAACAATAAACCAAAATGATTTCCCCCAAAACTGGTTCTCAATTGGGCAATACAATATACATCTTCATAAATTTTTAATTAACTAAATTACAGCTGTTTTGAATATAAACTTAACTGTAGCAATCATTTAAGGGTGGTGGTAGGTTCTCCCCCCACAAGATGCAAATCAGTGAATTTCCTCCTTTTCTTCTCTTCAGATAGTCAATCCAGGCCATGGTATCTGAGCACAAGTATATTCCATTCGCATCTACTATCCTCCAAATCAGAGTCCATCATTTCTTTTCAATTACTCTGCAGAATTAAAGAGCAAATATTCAAGTACCTTTTCATTCAGCAAGCTGATGTATCTATTTCACACTACTTAAATAGCAATTCAAGAGTCTTTACAATCAGGCACTACACGGTACATGAGGACCAGCACTCTGCTTACTCAGCAGCAACCTGCAGCCCCATTAGTTTCAACAGCAGAAGATTTAATGATATATACAATTTAAGAACCACTGAGCCATCAATCAAGATTTGTGGAAGATTCGTGCTGAAATTTTCTGAAGTATCAAAAATTCTAATCAGTTTTAAACTTAATTAAGAGGAATTATGTCCAGAAGAAATACCTAATTGTCATTGATTCCATTCATTACATTTCTCTAAAATTATTGGTTAAAAAGACAGTAAATCATTAAACAAAAGATGAAATACAGTATTGAGGACTCAAAGTTCTCATATACGTCTTAGTGTCTTTCCAAAACTGTAAGAAAATAAGATATAACAGGAAAAAAGATACAGATCACCAGAATGTAGGTACAGGTAAACAAGGGACTACCCATTACCACATTCCATAGAAATCAATTCTCTTTTAAATAGCTTTCTATTTATTCTTAAATTACAACTAAATAAAAATTAATGGAACCTTCTCCATTCTTCTCCAAACAAAAGTGAAGCATGTTTGCAAAAAGTCTGTGACACAAACCAATACTAGTAAAGAATTTTTTGTGATCTCTACTGCACTCAATCGTTATTTTCAAAAGGCTTCACCAACACATAAGAGATTTTAGAAAAGCTGCAAGTTGACAATACCAGTGAGAAATTAACTGAACAAGAATCCAGGCCCTCCTAGCTCAGTGTTGCTTTTTGTTTCTGGGACGATACAAAGAAAAAAAAAGTGATATTTACATAGCACTTAAAACTTTGCAAAGCACTTGGCATGCACGATCTATGTGAACCTCTTAACCCTATGAGACAGGTCCCAGACTTACTATCTCCATTTTATCGATGAGGAAAATGAGGCAAAGAGGGTAGTAAATGTCAAAAGCAGGATTCCAAAAACCAGATTCCCCTGAATCCAAGCCCACCACCCCTTCTTTTAAGTCACAGCCTTTAAGGCAACACAGGAAAGATCAATGATCTACAACATTAACAGAAGCTATCCACTCTATAATCTCATACTCTTTCATGCAGGACCAAGGAAACACTGTAAATATTTATCATGCAAATCTTTTTAAAAATATGGAAAATCATGAACACATAGGGAAAAAGTGAATTCATAGGACATTAATATTTCAGAATTTGTATTTTCAGAAAGGAAAAACCAATAACATGCTTATGAAAATTTAAATAACGAAAAGGTATACTTGTAAACAATCAGAAAGTATTAGGGCTTATTTTGTGCCAAGTACTGTGTTAACTGGCTGGGGATATAAAGGAATGTAAAAATAGTCTCTGCCCTTAAACAGCTCATGTTTTAACATGGGAGACATCAAACAAGATATGTACAGAACAGATGAGTGGTAATCACAGAGGAGAAGGCAGCCAGGAGGAACTTGGAAAAGCCTCCTGTAGAAGGAGGCATTTTAACTCAGATCTGAAGGAAGCCAGAAAAGCTAAGAGAGGTGGAGATGAGAAAGAAGGGAGAGTATTTCAGGTATCGGGACAGCCAGTACCCATGACCTTAAAAAAAAAAGGGGTGGGAGGGTGGGACAAGAAGATCATAATGGTAGGAAGGAGCCAAGTTAGGAAGGACTTTACCGGTCAAAGAGAGGACTTTATAGCTGAACCTGGAAGTAATAAGGCGTCACTAGAGTTTATTGAGTAAGGAAGTGACATAGGCAGACCTATACTTTACGAAAAGGTGTGGGAGGGAATTAAACATCATTATGTTGGGGATCTTTTTAAAAAATTCTCCTTCAAAAATTTCGAACAAAGTCTGCATGAAAGCATAGAGATATTAAGTCCTCGAAGCAGACACAAGGATAAAAGAGATTCTGTCAAGATAAAGATAGACTCTAGATCAGAGGTATCAAACCACCCAGATTGCATATGTAGCCCATAATACTTCTGAGTACAGCCTGAACCAAATTAAACTATAATTGGAAGAGATTTAATAAAATAAATACAAATACAACAAAACATGGATAATATCAGTTATATGGTTTTTAAAGACAATATGGGCTACAGGGATCCTTATGCATGGTTTGGTGGCCCCCATTTCTTTGTGAGTCTGACACTACTTGTCCAGATCATTTGTGTCTTACAAAAACAAGCAATATTTTTGACAAGTTGAAGGATTTTTTTTTTTTTTTTTGCAGGGGGTAAGATATGATCTGAAACCATGACTCCACAGAAAGGACGGTTTATAGCTTAAAAGATTTTGGCATGTTCATGACATGACAGCATCCCTTTCATCACAGCAGGGTTACTAACATCAATGCAAAAATATTAGTTTTTTTAATTCCTAGATTGACATAAGTCTAAAGTTGCAATTGAATTCAGTACTCACCATCATTCATCATTCCTTTTGACTCTTTAAATGCTAAGAATTAGTAACAAGCCAAGCAAGCAGTTAGAAATTTTACACAATTAGCAATTAGGGCCAAGTAAAAAATTAGAAATATCATGCCAACTATCTAAATTCTATAGAACCTAATTAATTTCTAGGGCTACTTTCAAAATACTGAAAAACTTCAACCAGGTATGGTTGGGTTCTTTGAATCCCATACTTACTCCCTCTTCCCTCTCCATCCCCCATCCCAGCAGGGTCAATCTAAAGAAGTTACAGTTTAGAACATAAGCCCAGGCCTGGTCTAAGTTTTAAGAAAGCCAAGCTCTGGCCTTGCCCCATGATGTAATAATCTTAAGGTTTTGCCACTAAAATCCAGAACCTGCAAAGTTCACTGTGAACCACTGTGGCAACAAGGAAGTGGGAAGGTTTTCTCTTGCCTCTTATAGAGGCAAGTATGGTAGTGACAGAAGACATTACATTATCTCAGAGTTGAGAGCATCACAATAGCAACACTCTGAACTCTTAATGACTTAAGAAAAGAAAGGTCAAGAAGAACCTCAGTTTTCCACAAAGTAAGGTGGAAGCACTCTCTATACTACTGAGCCAGTCCAAGTTTAGGAACTGGTTTTGGGAAAAATAAAAAATTAAAAAAGAACAAGCTGTTGTAAACACCTACCATTAAGGGGTTCCTCTACAGCTTTCTGGAAAATATTTAAAATAAATTTATATAAAATTTTATTTATTTCATGCCCTTTCATACTCAGGCTACTTTAAGCTAATATTTCATAATACAATGGATTCTAATATCTAAACAATGCAAGAAAATAAAGGTTATAAGCTAGTAATACTCAGTTCATTAACTTGAATAGTAAGTGCACTCTTATTACTTATTTCCTATCAAGAGTTATTCTTTCTGTGAAGGAAGTGATTTCTTATTTAAAAAAATTAAAGCCACAAATAATAATCAACAGACCACCAACAACAAAAAAAGCAGTTAAAATGTTATTTCTGCAAAGAATGGGGATGAATAGAATCACCTTAAAAATCAGTCAAACTGAACCATGAAATGTGGAAGGAAAGTTTTATGGGTCAACAGGTAACAGTCATCCCTAAATTACACGCTTTAAAAAAATGATTATTATAGATCACAGAATTAGAGGACTGTCAAAGTCATCTGGTCCAACCCATTCGTCTTATAGAAGAGTCCCCAAGAGGCTGAGTAACATTAGCTTAGCTGCTGATTCCAATACCTTGTGGGAATAAGGAAGTACACAAAAATGGATTTTTGTAGCTTTTCAGGCATATACATTTTAAATAGTTTGTCTTAGACAAAACATTTAAGAATGTGTCTTTAACCTACTGTCACCAGCAGGTCTTGACTTGGATCATTTCTGGTGACGTGAAAATGGTCAAGCACTGACTAAATCTCTATAATGAGCCGAATGAAATAGCTTTTTTTTCCACGCAATGTTTCTTGGGCTGAGCACTACTTTTGGAATACTTGACTCAAAGTTCTCCCTTTTCTTTTCTCTCCCCAGATCATCTCTGTGCTCTTGACCAGTATTCTTAGAATATCTAAGATGAGGTAAAATTTGATGCAGTGAGGTCAGGAAGAAAAAATTATTGAAATGGAAAAAGAGTAGAAACTAAATAATTCACAAGATATAGTTTAAAAATTAGTTTTATAACATCTTTTTAATTTTATTTTTAAACAAATTTTATATTTAAATTTTATTTTAACACCAAAAGAAGAAATGTTGCAAATAGTTTACGTAATAATGAAACATTGTTTTTTGAATGTTTGATAGACCTTCTGGCTAGCCCTAGTTGTTCTTTCCCTTTGCGAGTTTATTTACAACTTGATTAATCTATTTTTTTTTGTTCTGGTAACTTAGATTGTTTCATATTTATGTAAATATTTATCCATTTACACTGTCAGTTCTTTTGGCATATAATTAGGCAAAATATTTTCTAATAATTTCCTTCATCTTTATTAGCTGTGAATTTTTTTGATTTTGATGCTAGTGATTTGTTTTTTCTTTTTTAATCAAACTAGCTAATAGTTTATTTTATTTTTGTTGAAAAAACTAATTTTATTAATCAACTCAATTAAGATATTTTTGCTTTCTATTTTATTAGTTTCTTTGATTTTCAGAATTTCTATATTGATGGTTAGTTGGAATTTTTTGATTTGTTGCTTTTTTAGTTTTTTTTTTTTTCCTCATTGCATATCTAACCCTTTTTCTGTTCTTTCTCACTTCCACAATTAAAATGTTCAGAGATAGGAATTTTTCCCTAAGGACTGTTTTGATCACCTCCCAATTTTTTTTTTTTAACACAGTCTCGTTGTTATTTTCTCGAATGAAATTAGCTATTGTTTCTATAATGTGTTCCTTGACCTATCAATTATTTAGGATTAATTTAGTCCTCAATTAAATTTTTTTGGGGGGGTGGGGGGTGGACCTAGGCAATGCGGTTAAGTGACTTGCCCAGGGTCACACAGCTAGTATGTGTCAAGTGTCTGAGGCTGGATTTGAACTCAGGTCCTCCTGATTCCAGGGTTGGTGCTCTATTGTGCCACCCAGCTACCCCTCTTCAACTAATTTTTAATCCTTTCTTCAGACTCTTTATTGAGTATAATTATTATTGCACTGTGGTCAGTAAAGGATATATTTAATATTTCTGCTTTTCCATACTTGTTTATGAAATTTTTATATACAAAAAAGGGTCAATTTTCATAAAACTGCCGTAAGACAGTTGAAAAATATTCCTTTCTATTCTCATTATGTCATGGCCCAATATCTACCATATGTAACTTTTTCAAAATTCTTTAACTTCTTCCTTATTTATCTTTTTGTTAGGTTTGTCTGAAGCAAGTCCCACGATTATCACTGCCCTCAAGGTTTGAGCTTTTGCAGGCTTCCTGTATTTCTCTCACTCCTTAGCTGCTCTGTCACTTTTCTGCTCCAAAGCCTACAGATGAAGGTTATTGGTGTCCCTGGCTTGTTCTTGCCCTAGTGTCCACAGAAAAAGGCTCCTAGTTTTCCTGGAACATTCTTGTCCTGGGACCTATCGCCATAAGCTCACAAAGTCCCTGACTAGCCCCCGGTTTGCTCTCTTTCCTACCTTATCAAGATCTAAGAAAAAACTGAAATTATATTTCTGTTTCTACAATTGGTCATGGTAGGAATTGTATACTGGTCTTAGCTGCTGTCACGAGTATACAGTTAATAAGCAATATTTGTAAAAGTAGACTTCCTAGTCTGGGTAAGAAATATCAATATGATTTTTAACATCCATTCAATCCTTTGCTACTAAAACTACTAATACTAGGTTCATGTATAGAATTGTACCTAATCATTAAGAAATACAAAACTAGAAAAAACTCTTGGTAGAAAATAAAAGGCTCAATATACACCGTTAGCAATTCCTTCATTCATCAGAGGTTTGGAACTCATTATCTAAATAGAAACTTACCCTAGATGGTGGTATAGTCTTCTGATTGGAAGCTGAAATCATTAAAATATCAAAAAAGAGAGGATCAGAATTTCACAAAAGATACTTAAGACAAATGGTATTTAATTTTATTAAGTTCAAAGTAGTTCAGTTCCAAAACTAAAGACGTCAGATACTACCCAAAAAAGCATTCTAGCCTTGGTCATCTATTAAAAACTGAATGCATCATTCAGCATTTGTATTGATGGGAGAAAGAAGTGACAAAATAATCTACCAAAATAGGGAATATGTACACATATGTATATACCTAAATACATGTAGTCTGTCACTTATACCAGCTGAGCCATCAAATGCACGCACGCACACACGCGCGCACACACCCCCACACACGCCCTCTCTAATTTGGACAGTGTATGGTGGGAAGGCAGAGTACAGTCTGTTCTTCTTCATCCTATATGATTGAGTTTATTCCTTTACTTCTCTCGATCTACTTACAACCTCCCTAATCTTCCTGGTTTAGAGTGTTCCAGAATCCTAACAAACAAAAGAAAATACAGTGAACTGGAAAATGATTTTTAAAAGACTAACTATGCTAGGAGGCCCTGGAAATCCCCCAAAGGTGATGATTCAAAGAATTATTAGCCATTCCCAGCAGGTCCCATCCATAAATTTCTTTAGAGATCGCTCTTTTTAGTCTTCTGCTAAACTTTTCACTAGTTTAGTATCAGCTAGGTCTAATTGGTTACAGGAAGAGGAAAGACGGGTGTGAGCAGGACAGTGAAGTGCAGAAAGGAAGGGGAGTTGAATGGAAAGAGAAAGAACAACTTTGACCTAAAACACCAAGAGAGGAGGAAGACACCAGAGTGGTTGAAGCCATTTCTAGAGCAAGCAATCAGAAATGAAATCTTGAGAATAACCTGGCAGCAAACAGAATATTTAATATTATTACTACACTTTAGGTAATTCACAGTCAAATCAATTGGAAGTTAATTGAGAATAAACTATTGTAATTTTTGGACTGGAGTTGTTTCATTTCCGTAGAAATTTTGCTTCTGAACATATTCAAAGAAAAAATTCATCCTGAGCATGGTGGTCTGGTTTTTCTGGTTTGTTCTCCTTACACTAAGTAGCCTTTTGTCCTCCTCCTATACTTTGTACAATTGACTTCTGTGCAACAGCCATATGACAGCTCAGGAATGGAATCTACAGATACAGTTATGTCTCCTGGGGAAGCTACCACGTGCAGGGCCCTTTCTTGACAGCTAACACAGTTAAGACTATCTCAAGGGTATAGAGTCACTCATGTTGGGGAAATGTGACTTACTTGGAAAGCTGAACAAGGTAAGAACTCTGTCTAAAAAGGGGAGGAGAGTATTAGTGAGGTGGTAAGCTCAAATACTGTTTCCTTTCTTCTCGACAAGTGAGAACTACAGAAATTTATGAAACATTTACACTTCTATAAAAGTTTATGTTGACAGACAGCATGTACTTCAGTCAAATCCTCCTCTTGCAGGGCCCATTCTCAACATATGCATAATGTAATTTAGAAATGAAACGAGGATTCTATCTGAAATTTTTGATAGGGGTACAAAATTTATTCTTAAACCACTGAATTGCATTTCTTAGCAGGATTGTGTTTTTGTGTAGGCACAACACCTACTTTTTCCTCCAAAATAACATTTAAAGAGAGTATTTTCATTTGTGTTCCCATCTCCTAGGTATCTGATTCCTAATTATTTTTAGGGAGTTATTTGTAAGGCAATCTTGCTTGGGCACATTGAAGAAACACATCTACAAAGAATAGTAACCACAAAAAAAAAGAAATTTATGTGACACAACCATATCTGTTGACCAAATCAGATCCCTGACCAAACAAATGTAAGTACATAAAAGCCAGATGTTACTAGACATTGTTTCTACTTTAATCCCACTTAAAAAGGTTGTTGTAAGAAACACGTTTTGCAAACCTCAGTGCTCTATGTAAATGAAAATAATTATTAATTCTTCCTAATAGGATGTATCAGAATTAAAAAGCCAAGGCCATAATATCGAGTGGCAAGTTCTTCTTAACTATAAATTAAATCCTTATCCATATAGACAAAGCCATATTTCCAATGCATCTCTGTACAGTGACCCTAGAACTTCTCTTCTGCCCTTCAACACACCTTAACAATTTACTTTTTAGTTTCAAAATAATCAGTAAAACCTTTGCTTGGCTCAGCCAGTGTCCTCTCTTTCCTTCACAGTCCAGAAGTAAATCTGATGATAAAGTGGCTTATATCAACCTAGATTTCCTTATATAAGAATCTGATTATATTAGACAGTAGAAGTGGCTTTTTTTTAAAGTAGGGAGACTTTCCAAGTGATATATGGAAACCCTAAGAAAGAAGCAAGTCTTACCTCAGTGATTCTAATTATCTCCCTTTAATCTTCTTTCTTATTCTATCCCATTAAGTTTTTATTCTCATCTCTTTGTCTCCTTTTGTCAATATCAAAACACCTCCCATTTAAAAAAAAATGCATTCAGTAAAAAAAAAAGCAAAAAACAAAAAACAACCAAAACTCCAGGAAGTGAATGCCAAAATTCTATGATAATGTTACAATTAAGGCTACAAATATAAATACTTAATGAAGAAAAATGCACAATTTTAAATTCTCATAAGAACAATGACTCACCACACAGGAGACAGTACAGAGTTTGAGAATTAAGTAGTTTAATGCTTAGTATATGAACAAGGCTATTCTAAAGCAGAACATGGGTAACAGTGAAAAACGATGGAAACATTTAATTTTTAATTTCAGATGAGTACATTCAAATTTGCAACCTTAATGTTACATTATGTATATGAACAAGGAAGATACGTAAATGCTCAATTCTACAGCACCACCACCTAAATAAAACTCCTCTGTACCTTTTCTCTTCTTGCTCATCAATTGATCGAGGGTGTGCCTCTCAACTCTGGCATCAAACAAGTTTGTTTGAAAAGTTAATTTAATATATTCTCAATAAGATGTAAGACTATATTCTTAATACATTATAATAAGTCCAAAACTGTGTAAAGTTAAAAAAAATCACTGTAGGTGCTTGTCAGAAATTTGTTATCAGGAGAATGCAAGTTCCTTGAGGGAAGGGGTGTTTTGTTATAGTGCTTTCACACATGGTAATATATGTTAAATTGATAATATAAAAACTATGGCTTTTTTCCAAAGTTGAAATTTATAATTGCCCAGATCGTACTTTCTAGGTCACCTTATTCTCAGTGTGGGCAAACAAAGAAACATAGGGAAAAAGTTACTAAATTCATAATTACTGTAAGTGTCAGGTTCATACTATAGCATACAAAACTATAGTAATGGAGGCTAAAGAAATGCTCTCCTCACTAACGGAAGTATTTCTGAGCCCAGTGGCAATTATCTTATAAACCAGAGATATCAAACTCATTGGCAGCTTGCAAAACTCCCCAGTGCTACCCAGAACAAGATTAAAATATAATTGGGAAATATTTAACAAAATAAACAAAAATAAAACACAACAAAGATAATGTTAATCTGAGGTTTTCTAATATGCTGCTACAGGGATCTGTTTATAAACCAATGGCTATGACAGACAGAGGCTAGAAGCACAACGCCATCACCTTCTAGGGAGGAAAAAAAGGAGGAAGAGAAATCTAACTGGTAACACACCACACGGTAGGTTAGATAGGCTATCAGGGAAGAAAAGAAAAACGGCTCTTCCAGATAGAGACAGCTCATACTATTTGATCACAGCAGTATAGACATTCTAGGTTATGAAACTGATCTCAAGTACATTTGCTAAATCATCAGTGACACCTTTAAGTTTCATGATGATTATTCTCAATCCACATAAGATGGATTCATAAAAATAGAATCTGCATCAACCCTTTGTATATGTCTAAAGCTACCAAAAAAGTTGATATTGCTTTGAGATTATTAGTCATACTTTTCAGATATAAGAAAGAAAAGTTTAGAAAAACTTGACTGTGAAAATGCTTACTGAAATTACAAATCAGATGAATCAGAGTAAAATTAGTTATATAAGGGTTTCCTTTAAATAGTGAGCTAGCTGTGTGTGTGTGTGTGTGTGATTTGTACATCATTAATTACATGGGTGAAAACCCAGAATGGACAACATAGAAACTTGGTGGGATTCACTGACAGCTGCCAGTTCAGAAAGGAAGGTAACATTTTGAAATGATATCTCACTTAAAAACTGATCTGGCTTACAAAAAGATTCATCTATACAACTTTAAATGAAATAACAGCTACTGAATAAAGTGAATCTCAGTGTACTAAAACCTCATCAATTTTAACTCCACTAACTTGAAATCTAAAATAATCTAGAGAGAAGTTGGTTTTGGGTTGTTATTACTGGATTTTTCTCAATCTGCTTTCAACTATGAAAAAGATGCTGATTAAGCAAATAAGTAGTGTAAACCAGATGAGGGGCAGAGGGGATGTTATATTCATTTAAAAGGACAAATTCTTTCCAAACCCTTTTGAAAAGCTGTTACATGGGAAAGTAAATTTTTCTCCTTAGTTTGTGAGGGTATAACCAGGAGCAATTAATAAAGTGAAGGCAATTTTTAGTTTAATATAAGGAAAAGCCTCTTAACAATTAGAACAATGCAAAAATGAATTTAGATTGTGATACCAGACATCTTCAAGCAGAGACTACACGATCAATTGTTGACAATCTTATAAAGGAAAAGTTTATTTTGGGAAAAGGCTGGTATGCCTGGCACATAGCAGGTACTTAATAATTGTTTACTGACTAGCTGACTAACTAGATGCCTCTGAGGTGCTGTTCTTAAGGCTCTATCATTTTATCACTCGGAAGTACCCATATACAAGCTAAAAGTCATTTGCAGAAATCAGGTTTTCTACAAATTGGTAAATAAGATATGGCTCAAGTGCCAAGTTTAAAAGCAATAATTTAAAGACAAAAAAATTTTAAAACCCTACAAAGTTTGAATTCTAAAACATTTAAAATGAAAAAAAAAATAAGTATTTTAGAGCAGAATGTAATTTCATATTTAAATTAATTTTAAAAGTTTTTGAAACATGCTTTAGAATTCTTTTTAGAATTCACTTTTTAAAATGAATGAAAATAGATTTTGTTGTTAGTATTTTTAAAGAGTTTTAAAGTTCTGCATTATTTAAGTTATGTATTATTCTCTGCACATGAGAAGCCACCACATCTACTAGTTCATGGGTAGGCTGATTTGCAAATGGCTAGGATTCTGCAAGTTAACATACACAAATTAATATTCTGATTCAAAATTATTCTTTTCTGTTCATTAAAACAGGTATTGACCCATCTCTAACATGAATTTAACTAAGTGGACATTTCTTTAAAGGTAGACTATGATACCAGCCTCCTATTAATTCCAACTGTCTCCTCTCTCTAAATGGTCTGAAATAACTGAAATTAGTTGTTGTGAAAAGCACTCCAACCCCAAAGAATTATTATTCTCTTTAAAATCTTATTTTTAAACTCAAAGCTTCTCATAATCTTTTCTACCCTTCAAATGAATAGGCAAAATTTTTAAATTCTGTAATTCAAGTTTTCAGAATAAAGTGACAGAAAGTAAATTCTACTTACCTACAAATTTCATGTAAACTAGACCAAGCAATTCTGCAAGGGCAATGATACCCAAGCCTGAAATCATGAGAGGGCCCTGCGTAGGGGAACATTCTGCCAAAAAATAAATATTATTTTGCGTTAGAAACTTACATGTAACAATTTCACCTATTCCATATAGATACATAATAAAAGTAATAGCAAGGTACTACAGTGGATAGAGTGCTGGATTTGGAGTCAGGAAGATCTGAATTTAAAATCTTATGTGACCCTGAATAAATCATTTACCCTCTCTCAGCCTCAGGTTCCTAAAAATGGAGGTGATAGCACCTACCTTGAAAAATTTTGAGTATCAAATGAAATGATATAGATAAAGTGCTTTGCAAACCATAAAGCAGTATACAAATGCTAGCTGTTGTTACTATTACTGTTATTATTACTGGCAGAATGAACAGCAGCTCATTCTATGACTGTTCTCAGTTATCAAGAAAAAAGAATGACCTACTTGATCTCATTAAAGGGCAAGTGCTAAAAACGCCATGAAAACTTGGATAAATGTCAATTTTATCTTTATTTTATAACTTTAAAAAAGTTATACACAGCTGAATATTATGTTATAACATAATTGCCTGGGTTTCTGGAGTCAGTTATTTCAATAAAATCAGCTGCAATGATTAAATCTGTTATTTTAGATAGAAATTCAATATCAAATGTTCTTATTTCCTCTATATGTAATAGGCAAGTTTTTCAAGGCAACTATATTCTTGTCCTTAAATTTAATAGGATCCATTAGTGGGATGTTCAGTAGAATTCAATACACCAAGATCTTAGCAATAAAGTAAGAAGATTCAGACTATTGTGCTAGAAAACATTATTATTCATTATTGGTGCAACATCCATCTTCACCAATCATGGAAATAAGTACTTGCTTACTCTTGATATACCTATCTAAAAATAGGGCCCAGGCAAGTGCTAAGTGCCTGATAAGGCAGGGGTAGAAGGACTCTTGTAAGTTTCCTGTAACCACTTTTGACCTGTGAAGAAATTCCCAGAATAGGCACTGCACTTCTAACGATGGAAAATGTACTTGTTCTCATACACACATGGCATAACCATCAATTTTGAGGGAGAAGGTCATGCTTAAAGACCTCAAAGATGGCTCCAGCAGAACCAGGCTGACCTTAGAAAAGGCTGAGTAGAATCTGAGGAGGAATATTCAATTGATGTTTCAGCATCAGTTTCTCCACTTTTGGAAAAAAAAAAAAGATACCAGTCCTGCATTTTCTCTCAGAACTGGAGCTTTGGACTCTGAGCTCATGAGACCTCACCGAAGACCTACTACTAAGACAGTGGATGATTTTAAAATTATGAATTTGAGTAATTCTGGCATCTAATGAATTAGATTTAAGGGAAGTCAGATATGCAGTTATCTACAGTTGTCACCAGAAGTACCATAAAAGCCTAAGATTCTGAGAGATGATACAAACTGTATCAGGGTCAGAAAAGAACTGAAGACCTAAAAGATGATGGTCACATAAATAAAATGATCCTTGGGCTTTGCAATCTCTAAAAGTTTCACTGTTATAACATAAGACCAATCAATGGAAGTCATGCGTTTGAGCTTCTCATCCTAGAGCTACATATAAATGTCTCTGGGCCTTTGTCTGCAAAATGGATAGTCTTGTTTTTTAAAATGATGTTGAATTCCATCTCAGAAGACCATTATTATGAGGCATCTAAAATGGGTAACTTAAATGAGGAGCAGGTGAGCTCACTGATTATCCTGTTACAAATTCACTTTCAAAATCTGAGAGGACACTGCCATTTCACTTACCTATGATTATTAGCCTCTAAGTTCCATGAGGGCAGGAACTACCATATAAAAACCTGTGTTGTACATAAGACCCAGCACAATGCTCTGCTTATAGAAGCCTCTATTAAAATACCTGTCAAATGAATGAACTGAATAATGTGTTCTGTTTTGTCTATTTGCATTGGTCTGCCTTTTCATGCAAGAAGGAAAATTCCTGGAGGACAAGGGGCACCTGAATTTTTATAAGCTGCATGACAGGCCTAGCTAACTATGATAGCTTAAGCGCTAAATAACAGGAATACTGCTAAATGTTATACAGACTTTAAAAAATGAAAAGAATCTGCGTTTGATGGATTTATAATACTTATAAACTAGCATCCTAGGAATGGAGTAAAAATGTGAGACAACATTGTTATAACACTCTTAGCTCCTTTAATGAAATGGTGAGAAAATATTTTAAGAAAAAATACCTTGGCTAGATAACAAATGTCCTATTACACCAAGAAGAAAATAACACTGCTCCTATTTGGCTTCAACATAAACCACTGTTGGTTTTGTTTGTTTGTTTGTTTGTTTTAGCAGTCTTCCTAAATAGGTACTAACTACAACTTTGTGCACAAACCAATGATCAGGCAAGCCACTTACAGTAAATATTCAGATAGCAAAGGAGAAAGAAATTGTTTTTGTTGGACGGAAATGAGTTTTTAAAATTTTTTTTTTAAAAAGCCCACTTAGGACAAGAGAAATTGTTTCAATGTTATAGCACTATTAGTGCAAATGAAATGAAACTTAACTATTCCATATATAAAAATGTGTTTCTTACTTGTGATACACAGGCTTAGTCCAATTACAGCAAGTACGTAACCCAGTAACTGCAGAATCAATATACCAATGGCAAAGAGAGTCATCCCAAAAGCTGGAAAAAAAATATTATTACAAAGACTACTAAAGAAAAACCTTAAAAGCTCTTATTTCTCTTTGGGTGTTTAAGATCAAACAACTGAATGCTAATTCTTTGGTTCCTTATTTTGGGAAATTACAGGCAAGTGTCATTAGAAAAATAATAGGAAGTTTACATTTCCTGCAGAAATCTAATAGTCTGTAGAACTATTTAACCTAAGTACTAGTCCTCTGTTCTACATTCATTCCAAAGATCAACAATTTATTCCAACAGTCAGGAGTCTAAGCCCAACATTTTTAAAAACATGTAATATCTTAAAGTCAATGATACTTTTATAATTTCCACATATTTTATATATTTTTCTTTCCATATGGCTTTTTCATGCTCACACAAAACTGCTCTGGTGAAGAATTTCATTATGCAAATGTGTTCATTCTTACAATAATTGCAATGTCTACCAAATTACCTGGCTACCTAATGAGGTTTTTGAACTCATAACACACAAACCCCCTCTATTCTCAAAATGCTCTAGACTCCATTTACATGACCAAAAGACTAACAGATACCAGAAAGATTAGAATGTTTATTAATAAAAAATATTTTGGCAATTTATCACCAAGGGAAAATAAATCAGCTAAAATGACATTGTAATACAATGTTCTCATGGAGCACACATTTAAATAAAAAAATTGAAACAACAAAGATTGATGTACATACGGCCTATTCATCTCACTCCCTATTAAATTATAAAGTTCAAAGTTTACCAATAAAAGACCAAAGGGCATTTTCTGCTTTATTAATTAAAACACCATTTTGTAGAACTTTTTTTTTAAATAATGCAAATAATGAAGAAAGAAGTGGGAAAGGGATTAGCTTAGCATATCTATCATATTTTTTTTTTGAAAGAAGGCTGTTAGAAAGTGTGTGTTGACCACATTATTTTTATTTCTTATGAATCTAAGATGTAGAAATTCTTTGTGGAAAAGGTTTTACTTTGCTTTTTTCCTTTATGATGACAAAACTGTGATAAGAATAAAAAGAAACATCAAGCCATTACACAGCATGATTTCAAATCCACTGACTGACATCAAATATATATGAAAATAGTTCATGAAATAAAACTACCTTTTACAAAGTTCTGAATGCCTCCAAAACCTAAAGCAGCTTTAAAATTATATCATAGTTTAAAGGTTATAATGCCAAGAATAACTTGAAAAATATTTGAAGCTATTTCTGCTTAAAATTTTAAAAAATTTCCAGCAATGATGAAAAATAAATAAATACATGGCAGATGGGAGAATCCTATTATAAAAAGAAATTAATCCTTACCTGTCATAAATACACAATATTGGAGTAGCACTAATGTCACAGTAGGGATTACAATTAAACCAAGTCCAGAAGCATTCTTTACTGAATATTCACCTGTTAATAGCAAAAATACTTTTAATTTTTTGGTATATTAAATTATACCTACATTAAAGATAAAATATTTCATAGCTTTTTAAAATATGTAATACTTTCTAAACTATTTTAGTGAATAGATCAGATATTATTATTCACATGTGAAGAAAGTTAGGAAACTTAAGTGTTATAAAGTAGCAAGACCAGTAATTAAGCCTCAACAAAAACTCAATTCATTTCAGATTCAGTTCTTCGAAAACTGAACTCAACATCCTGCCTGCCTCTAAAACTAATTTTCTACTTCCAACTACTAAATTTCTACCTGTCACTTGAATTCTTCCATTATTCTTCTCTTAATTATCTCTGTTATCTATCCCTAAGTTCTGTCATGTTTTCATTCATAGTAGATTCAGTCTCTCATATTCACCCTTTAACATTCCCACTGTTACTATGCTAAATCCAAGTCCCTTATCACCTCATGCCTAGATCACTACAACAGATGCCCATCTGTTTTCTAAAATTCCAATCTCTCCACCATTTAATCCAATCTGCATGCTGCTAAAAGATTAATTTCTCCTAATATTTTCAAATATTCTTCAATTCAAGAGCCTGTGATGATTTCCTACTGCCCATCATGTCTCCAAAATTTTATGGCTAGTTTTCAAAGTTCTCCATGATTTATCCCCACACTAACTACCAATCTTATTTCTGAATATTTTCCAAACATGTAAAATGCTGCAGGTCTGTTTCTATGGCAAACATGCTCAGAATTTCACTTAAAAAACAAAACAAAAAACAGAATCACTGAACTTGATAGGACCTCCAAAATGGCCACTGAGAATAATCCACACACAAAAGGAATCCTTGATATAATACTCACCAAGTAATCATTCAGCCTCCACCTGAAAACCTCCCAGGAGGGAGAATGCACTACTCTCAAAGCAGTCCATTCCTCTTCTGGACTGCTCTGATTATTAGGAGATTTTCGTGACATCAAGTTGCCTGACAATTAAGTTACTGCCACTTTGCAACTTTTACCCATTGTCTTCAGGGGCCAAATAGAACAAATCTATCTCTCCTCCACATGACAGCCCTTCAAATACTTGAAGGCAATTGTCATACTTGCCCTAAGCCTTCTATTTTCCAAGCTAAACATGACCAATTCCTTCAACCAGTCTTCAAACACTCCAGCCTTCTTAAACCACTGCAGCAGAACTGAACACAACAATCCAGAAGAGGCAGAGTACAACAGAACTACGACTCTGTTATTCCTGGAAGTTATATCCCTCTTAATGCAGCCCAAGATCATGGCAGATTGGGGGGGGGGCGCTAATTAAAAAAATAATAATGACTTATATTGAGTTTACAATCCACTAAAACCTCTTTAATGCAAAGCCTTCCCTTGAACTGTCAACTCCTACCAGTTACCATTTCATAATTCTTCCTCAACAGCTTTCTCTTTAACCAATGTCTCACCGCTGTCGTTAATCTCTTGAAATCTGGCTTCTAGCACTCTACGAAAACTGCTTTCTCAAATGTCAATAACCTTCAATCGACAAACCTGAAAAGTTTCCCAGTTTTCATTCTCCTTACCTCCCTGCAGCACTGACATTACAGACTCAACCCCTTCCTTCTGCACTGCTCTATTCTCCCTTGGCTGTTTCCTTCCTTGGCTCATTGCCCTCTTCCCAACAATTTAAGGTTGTTCTCCAGTCTTCTCAGTCCTTGACCTCTTTCCTTTTTCTACACTCGATCCCTTGGCAATTTCATTTGCTCTTACCGTTTCACCTATTATTTTCTGCAGAGAAGGCTCCCAAATCTCTACCCAGCCTGTCTTTTCCCTTGAGACTTTCCCTTTTCCTTGACTTTAATCTACAGATTCTACCTGTAGATGCAAGTTCTAGATACTTCAAACTCAGTATGTCCCTAAACTGATCTTGCTGTCTTTCTCCAAAAACCTGATCCTCTTTCAGACTTCCCTATTTTTGTCTGTGGCACCACCATTTACCCAGCCTCTTACTTTTGAAACGTTATGGTGTTAGTTTAGCTCTCTCGTGTTTTTGTATCCAGTTACCAACTATAGATTCTAGCTCTGAAATGTGGTTATCAGCATTCTCTTCCTCTCCATTTGCCACCACCCTAGTACAGTCTTATTGCCACCTGCCAGGACTATTGCAGTAACCTCCTAAACAAATCTTTCCACCTCTCCCTTTCCAAACCACTCTTCACACTTTTGTCAGATTAATCATTATTAAGAAATGTGGTCATGTTACTCTTTTGCTCAAGACCCTGGAATGGCTTCCTAAACATGATTAAGTTAAGTTCAAACTCGGCCTTGCATTGAACGTCTGTTATAATCTGCTATCAAGTCTATTTTTCAAGCCTTATATCTCATAGTACTCCCCTCCATTCTTTACATTTCAGTAAAACTGAACTATACATCACTCCCCATCAAGTTCTGAATTTCCTATCACACAGCTACCTACCCATCCCTAGAATATCTTCCCAATGCCGTTTTACATGTTCAATTCTTACCAATACTTTGAATCTTGACTTACATACCACCTTATCCATGGAGCCTTCCCTTGGATTCCCTATTTAGTATGGACGTTTTCACCTCCAATCAATAAACATTTATTAAGCACAATCTCTCATGGCACTTTGCTTTCATCTCTGTGCATTTTTGTTTTATAATACTCACATATGTCATGTACCTGCCCCTCTAAAACATAAGTTTTCAAGAAGTTTACAATTTAGATAAGAGAGCATCTTATCTAAATTTTTTATTCCCCCCCCCCAAATTACTAATATAGCATTCTGCTGGCAGTATGTGTTTAGTATTGGGTTAAAGAGATGTCAACCTGCCCACTCCTTTGTTCAAGAAGTTTTCCCTACCTATCCAAATCTTATCCACCAAGTTCTTCAAAGTTCAAATCAAGCCCCACCTTTCCCCAGAAGCTACTAAACCATATCAGCTCTTAGTGATTTCTCCCTTCTGCTAATCTTTACAAAGATATCAGTTTATTTAGTCCTTTACAAGGACACACAATACAATTCTGTGTGTATATATGATAATTCTGTGCATAAAAATATATGCATTGTGTACACACACACATATATGCATGGTAAACATGTGTGTACATGTGTGTATTGTGTGTGCAGTGCAAGCACATATGCAAACATAGAGATGATTCGTGTGTAAATACACTTATGTATATACATATCCATAAATATACATGCGCATATATGTAAACAGCTAAAACTTATACAAACCTATGTATGTGCATATCCACATACATGCCCATGCCTTTTATTTATCTAAACCAAGGTTCTTATAATAAGAAAATAAGCAGGCAGTAGGTCTTACAATATTTTTTCTTCTCGCACAACACCCACCATACTGCTGGGAATATAGTAGGTGCTCAGTATTTACTGACAGACTAATTAACCTTAAAACTGAGCCTCACGTGGTCAGTATATCCCAGGGTCCAGAGCAGGTGCCACTTTAAAACAATATACTGTACTGAATTACTGCAATAAGGGTAACTAGTTGTAACTATACTCTGTGATGCTGCTCTTTGTTACTTGGGGTAACTTACCTGGTACAAAAAGAACGGCCCCAACAATAACCATCACGGTCAGGGCTAATCCAGCAATAATTAATCCAATAGTTTTCTCGCTGGTACAGTTGGATTTATATTTAAGCGCTTAAAAGAAAAAAAGAGAGAATTACTGCAACTCAATCTTAACAAAGGAGTGTTGTGCCTCCACAACTTCTTGTATCTAAATACAATGATAGCAACTAATTGTCCAATTGAACTACAATGTCTTATCACTGTAAGTAAAGCTATGCCACTTACTTGGGTAGCTTCATTCCCTCAGATTTTTAATTCAGATAGAAAATTATAGTTAAAAAGCTGACCCTTTGAGGCCATAAAGGATCTCTGATCTCTTTGGTGTGGCCATCCTGCCATACCTTCTAGGCTAGCTTATCCCAAGAATCCTCCACAGAACGTTGTTGGTGACTCCCAAACTAATAGAATTGACAATGAGTAAAAAAAAATGGAACCATACAAATTCTAGAAAAGCAGGCTCATATCAAATGAAATTATCAAGTAAACCACAAGTTTTTGTAAAAAAACAGGAGATAAAATGTACACAATTGGAGTTTTCATACTCAAAATTAAAGGAAACATTTTTTATATCCATTCTACATCATTTCTATAATAATAATAAAAAACCTATGGAAAGATAAGTTAGCATCAGTTTTTTTCTGACTGGCTAAACTGTCAACTGTACTGTCAAGATAGCAAGTGTTATGGATGATATTTTAAAAACTAAAGATTTATCTTTCTAATTATGTTTTGGTTTGGCTGTTACAATTACTTTATGAGAGGCAGCACAGAATAGCAGATGGAGGTTCACCCTAGTGTCCTGAAGACCTAGGTTCAAGCCCTGCCTCTGTCTGTACTGGTAATTCTGGGTCAAGTAATCCAGCTGATGGAGGATTAGACATTTTATTTTTTCAAACCTTTGTGAACTCTCAAAAACTTCCCAAAATAGGAATTATGTGCAAGAGGTAAAACAATTGCAATCGTCTCCACAGCCCAAGATACCAAGAGGCCAGCAAGATTAGGACCTGATGTACTGAGAGCAGAGACATCTAGGATCACTCAGCAGCCCTGCCCCCCCCAACCTACCTCACTCACTTATGCTCCAGGACCCTCTTGGCATTCCCTTCCTGCTGCTGCCATCTCTGCCAGCACACTATTTCCCTATTCTCACCCAACCATTCTCTGGCAAAAATCAGCAAACACCAAATTTCTGTCCACCCTCTTGGGGAGGAAAAGGAGACATAGAAAAGTGGAAACTGTTCACCCTGGGGCAGTAGAACACTGCAGCAGCGGTAAGTCAAAGAACTAAAGGACACAGTAAAATAGAGCAGGATGCCAGCATGTGGGGGAAGGGGAAAAGAAGAGAATTGCATGAGGCCTTAAGGAAAAGGGCCTGGAATCCAGCTAGGCCCAGTTTTGGAACCCCAACCCCAGAACATACTTGGGAATGAAACTGGTGAAAATTAAATTTCCCAATGTGGGAGGAAGCTGACAAAGCTTCGACACTCAATCTCAACAGGATCTGCCATCAAAGGGGGCAAGAGTCAGAAAGTATGCAACAAAGGAACACAAGGCGGGGCGGGGGGGAATGACTAAAATTACCAAAGATTTTAGGAGGAAGAAATTTGGCTAAAAACTTAGAGCACAAGAGAAAATAAGCAGGGAAAATTAAAACAGAAGGGAAAGTGACCACCAAGACATCTAAATGAGTTAAAACTTTCTAAATAAATATTGCAAGACAAAGGAAACTGAACCCATACCTGACGGGACAAAGGACCCTGTGCATTCCCTGTAGAACATATAACCACAGTGGAGGGTTGATGAATAGTTCAAGAGAGAAATAAAAATCTTAAAAGTAAAAGCTAAAAGGGAAAAAGTTTTATAGAATTTATGGCTTACACAGCAGAAAGCACACAGCACTGAATAGGAAAATTTGAATACATGGTGGTAAAGTTTTTTTACAGAAGCAAAAGAAAGAACAAGTGATTGGGAATAATAGCTACTAGAGCTAGTATTTATTTAACATTTTAAGGTTTGCAAAGTGCTATACATTTATTATCATTTAATCCTCACAACAACCCCGTGTGGTAGATACTGTTATCCCCATTTTACAGATGAGGAAATGAGGCTGAGAAAAGTCAGGTTACTTGCCTGAGATCACATTGCTAGCAAGTGTCAGAGGACAGGATTTGAACTCAGTTCTTCCTGACTCCAAGTCTAGGACTCTTAGCTACTGTACCATCAACCTACCTAAATATAAATGTATTTAAGTGAAGGATAATTGATAATAAGAGAAGAAAAATACAAAAAAGTTAAAAGAACATATTATATCTATATAATGCCAATCAAAAGAATCCATAGATTGTCTCCAGGTGAAAAAAAAAAAAAACAAAAAACTATGCTACAAACCCTGAGACCCATGGTGGTTAAATTTAACAATTGCAATGAAAAACAAGAAATTCTGCAGATGACCAGGAGAAAGATTTTCAAATATAAAATAAAGGAAACTTGAATGACACAAGACTATTCTGCATGAAGGAGGGTATGGGATGATATATTCCAAAAAACAAAGGCTCAAGATGAAACCCAAAATGACATACTCTGAAACCTGAACCTAATCATCAATGAAAAAAGATGGACATTATTTAATATAGGAGAGGGATCTGAAGTATTGTTAACTAAATGAAGACAAAAGTTGGCAGATTACTTGATTACAAATACCCTAGACAACACAAACATAAGTAGAGGTAAATACTACTAAGAAAAGTATAAGTAATGAAATAAATTACACCATCTTTAGAAATTTTATAAGAAGGGGGAAAAAACTAGAAAGATACTCAATGACAATTGAACCCAAATATCAATGACAACAAAACAAAAAGAGAGGTACCATTAAGAAATTTCTTTCTAACGATCAAACTGTAACTTTACAGTTTGATAACGATCAAACTGTAACTTAAATAGGAGCAATGTTGGTAGAGGAGAGGATGAGGATGCCTATGGACTAAACTTTACATGAACATCATCAAAATAAAAAAATCAAAGTTCTTTTTTTGTTTTGTTTTGGTGGAAGTAATGGCTGGCTGTTTGTTGTTGTTTTTCCTCTAGAAGAGGACCAATAACATCAGGAAGGTGATGTTCTGACTTGCAAGTGAATTTGATTTAAGTGAGGCAGAGCTGTGCAAAGTCACCAGCCTCAGTCTCTCCTCCAGAGCCATCCGGAAGTAAACTACAGAATGGGAGGCTAAATAAAAGGAAAAAAGAGAGGAAGAAGACAGAAGAACATGGGTAATATTTCCCAAACTAATCGAGTCAATAGAAACAAAAGGAAAAGAACTCCTTTGAAGAAAGGCCATAGGTGAGTTGTCAAATGGAAGGAACGAAACGGAGAAATCTGAATTAGAGGTAGAAAGGGGTTCCCCACTGAAAAACGTTCCCATGGTGCGTAGCTGGGGGAAATGGGTAGGGAGATATTATACAATGGAAGACAGAGACCTTAAAATGCTTATAATCTGAAGGGATTTGGGACTAAGAGACCACAACCTCAGAGGGAATATTATGCCTCCACAGACAACACCCTACCGCAGGAAAAAGGGAATAAAATCAGACCTCATGAGGGCAATCTGAATCCAGAAGACCCACAGATCATATGTGAAAGAAAATCACCACAGAGATAGCAAGGGGTAGAAATGAACTGCATGATCAAGGAAACAGGGCTGTTTCCCACAGGAATTGATACTTCTAAGAATGAAGCACAACTGAAAAAAAGGAGAAAGGGGAAATGAGGCAATTACATATAAACTGTTTAGAAGAGGGAACTCAAAATAGGTACTTGAGAAACTGAGAATAAGTAAGTATAAAGATGAAGATAAAATAAAAATGAAGAATAGAAAGAGAAGAGCATTAATGAAGATGTCAAAACAAAATTCTTTTTAGGAAAGGGTACAAAATTTAAAAAAAAAAATCCTAACCAACAAAAGAAGTTGAAAGGGAGAAGAGGATGGAGTAGATTTTATTTAAATATTTAAATACTTAACAGAGATTTTTTAAAAAGAGGAAAAGGAAAAAAAGGATAAAAGGAAGAAAGAAAAATGAATCAATATGAATAGAATTATAAAACTAGGGAAGAAGTGAGAAATGAAAGGAAGTAGGGCTTGAGGGTAACAGGAAGAGAGCCTAAAGGAAGAGGGTTGCATCAGGTAGATTAAGCAAAAATAACTGAAAGATGAAAGGAGAAGAGTAGGTCAAGGGGTTTAGGAAGTGTTCTCTTTCTGCTCTATAGCACTTTGGATTTTACCTTTGTCTCTATCACACTTTGGTCTTGGATACCAAGATCATGTTGTATCCTCTCTAGTCAACAAGTTTCTGGAAAGTAGGAGCTATTGTTTTTCATCATCTTCTTATTCCCAGTACTTAGTGGCATCTGGCACAAAGGACGCACTTAATAAATGTTCCTTGAATTGAACGTGGAAAATTTTAATAGTCCTTCTCCTTACTTCTCTGCCCACACTCCCTTGAAACTTGTATGGTTATTCCCCAAGAATTTTTATTTTTATTTTTTTTGCCAGTGAAGATACGCAAGAAGAAATCTCTCACAACTCCTATTTTCCTAGGATTGCCAACATCATCTGGAGGGGAACTAAGTGGAAGGGACCCAAAAGCAAAGAAAATAGTATACTTCCTTGTGTACAACGGAAGTAAACAGCATACTTCTAAAACAATTTTCTTTCTGAGTATATTATGTAAACAGTGCCTGTATAAATCAGAGCCTATCACTGATTCTCTTAACCTATGAATGAGCCATAAAACCTTTTTCAGACTTTAATTTAAAGACCAAACAAGGAAAAACATGCTAAAGACTATTTCAAGTGTTAAGTGGCCATTCTCAATGCAATAAAAAGTTTTTAATTTATTTGAAATTCAGCTTCTCTAGATTTAGAAAAAATGGGGGGGGGGGAAGCAGGGGAGGAGAATCAAACACCTATTATGTGCCAGGCATGATTATAAGTGCTTTAAAAATACTACCTTGTTAGGGGCAGCTAGGTGGTGCAGTGGGAACTCTGGTCTTGGAGTCAGGAGGACCTGAGTTCAAA